GTGCCCAGCCTCCAGGATATACAGTAGACCTTTCCCTCTCCCATGTGAGCAAAAGATTTTATCTTTGTTAACTGTTCCCTTAAGTGGGGGACAAATGTCAGGCTCATACACTTAAGTGATAGCACCCTGTCAGCTTGTAAAGACCCAAGTCGTTTTCATACCCTATCCAGGGTCTGTAGTCCAACTTTTCCTACCTTATTCTAACACTGGTCCAATTCCCAAACCAATATGATTGACCTGACAAGTCTCAAACACTTAGGACTCTCCACTTCATTCATTCATTCATAAGAAAAGTAGAAGAAATACTGTGCATTACATATCATTCCTGTGTGTTCCAATAATTGCACAGTAGCACAACTGAGAAAGGCGGGGGGGGGGCAGGAGGGGTGAGTGGATTAGACATGGACAAATATCATGGGTGATGGGAATTGACAGACTATCCTACACTCTTAAAAACAAGTGAGGACATCTAGCCATGTGGCCATCTGGAGCACAAATTTATTGAATTGAATCTGTACCCTTTTCAAAAGTGACATCCTGCCTTGCTGTCTCCTCTCTCAGGGCAGCATGATGACAAGTTGAGGTGAACATAAGGTGATGGTGAGTAGAGAGAAAGAAAATGGAAAAGAAAGGAAATACTTTTATTCCTTAAGCACACCTTAGGCTGTTGCTAAAAGGTTCGAGGCCAATTCGCTCTGGCAGCAGACTAAGAACCTCATCCACTTTGGAACTGCAAAGTACAATGAGCTAAAGGAAACCTCGCTCTAACAATTGTTTGACAGATAGTGTCATCGGTCAAAGAGACAAGTGGGGAGGAGAAAACAGGAATAACTGAGAGCTTATAAAAACAACATATGAAGATATTTTTGCTTCCTGAACCTCACAAATCACAAATTTAACGGGTGGGAAAACGTTCATTACCCCAAGAAGGACATTTTCCATTTCGCTCCAAGTGGCTAATTAGATATTAGTTCCAGGAATCTGGATTTTATGAAGGTAGTGGAAAGTTTCATATATTTAAAATAAAAAATAAAAAACTTGGTTTAACGCAAGACAGCTCACACTGTTACTGTGTGTTTAAGGCTGATTAATCAATCTGTGATCATTCTTTAGATGATCAGTATGGGACTACATGATATTGGTGCAAACTGATCGCTTTGGATGGAAAACAACTTTTAAGCCACAATCTTCCAGAGGGAAAAAAAAAAAAAAACTCAAACTGCTGTCAAGTGTCTCTTTTCATGACTATGAAGCTGATAAATGTATTAATTCCTCTGTTGACTCTTATGAGTGAAGCTTTGCCTCTACACATCATACTCATGCATTACAGAGGTTTGTTTGGTGATAGCATAACACATCTGGCATATATCCAGATCTGGTATATTTTGAGTAAACAGCAGGACTTTCTTACATACTAATGTTATGTAAAGAATAACTATAATAAGGGCATCTCAGATATTGGCATGTGCAAGCGTCAAACAGCAGAAATTTCATGCCAACATTACTTTCATTTCCTCATTGGAATTTCTGTCATGTTCGCTAGCCACGGTGGACAGATTCTGGAAATGTAAGGCTGTGTGTCACACATAGATTATCCTCTATACCAGGGGTGGGCAAACTTTTTGACTCACGGGCCACAATGGGTTCTAAAATTTGACAAAGGGGCTGGGCCAGGAGCAGAACAATGTAGTGAATCAGAGAACCAACGGCAGAATTCTCCATGCAGGTCATCTAGTGGTTTGCTGTATTTCTTCACGTTTCGGGTGGCCTCTTTCTGCATGGCTAGTGTGGGAAAAGTGAAAGATTTGTTTGAAATTTGTCTGGAGAATAAAGTCAGCTTGGATTTGAAGGCTGTCACATTTGTGTACATGTTGTGCACAAACTGATCTTTCCCCTGTAGCTTCACGTTCAACTCATTCATGTGTAAAAAAGTGTCCACAGCAAACGCGAAGTCACAAAGCCATTAACTCCAAAAATGCACTAATCTCCTCTTTGAGCTCAAACACTCATTGAAACACTTTGCCCAAACTTAACCAGTGGACACGAGAGTGGTAAAGTAAGTCCTGGTGATCTGCATTCAAAGCTAATGGGACATTGAATTTTGCCTAAATATAGTTGAATTAAAACATACCAAATGCTACTAAATTGACAAAACATTTTCTTTGAGGTGTAAATGTGCTAGATGAACACCTGCTACTACTGACCGCTAAGAACTATTACATTGATGCAAAAGAAAGGAGGTGTATCACTTGATGTTCTGCCCAGAAAGACAGAAAAAGCAAATTGTGGTCAATGATACCCAATTTATACTGTAGCAAAACAAACTGCACAACACTGCAAAAACACTGAACTGTGACAAGTAAGCAAAAAACATGTCGCAGAAGAAACTCTTTGTAAGCCTATAAGACAAGCGGATAGATTTATTTACAGTAGATCCAACTGTCCCTTCAGTGGGGACAATCAATAGTGTGTGAGACTATTAGAGAAGAGTGAGTATAGCCTTCACTCTCCGTATCCAAAGATGGGATTGACCAACAGAGAATTTCATGCTCTAGCAACACAGAGATCCACTTGTCACTTAACAACTGCTCTCATAGAGCATCTCAGCTTGTAATGGCAAAACAGTCTAAACGCACTGGAAGAATATAAACATATGCCTTGTCTGACACGTCACTGTGCAGCTTGTACATAATCAGCCATCAGGCTGCAACTCACTGATCGACCAGACGGATTTCCTTCCCACAAACTCATAACTCTTCAGCTAAGACAGCCCCTGTAAATACTATTCATTTCACTTTGTGAAAGATCCATACTGTGAAAACCTAAATCTGTTAATCAACTCTAGCCTCATTACTTACATGTCCCACCTATCAGGTTTAACACCATATTTATGAAAACAGCAGTAGCAACTGCAGACAGTCACATGGCTGTAACTGTACTGTGTATTCAGAGCTACAGCATCTATTGGACGTGATTTTCTTTGTTCTTTACAGTTCGGTGTTGTCTGGTTGTGTGTAGTACTGCCAGAATGCTTGGGTCCATGTACTTAAAAAAAGAGGGGAAAAAAAAAACCCTGGGTTGGTTCCCATGTTGTCAGAGATTTGCATCACCTCCATGTTGGAGTTTACTGGAAATTTTTTAAAATGTCTCTAAGCAACTTCATTATATTATGAAAAAAAATTCAATTTTTGAAACATTTCTGGTTGTCATAATACCGCAGCACAGACTGCTCTTGTGAAGGTCACCATCACCCAGTGGCTTCTGATGCTGGCACTTGCTCTGTTGTGGTACTGCTAGACCTAAGAGCAGCCTCTGAAACAACTGACCACAGTATTTATAGAAGTAAGTGTCTCTGAGACAGCTTTAAAACAATTTTCCCCTTATGCTTCTATCTATGTCTCTTCTTTACATCAAGGGTCAATTCTAGGTGCAATTTTAGTTTTCCTACACTTACTACCCCCAGGGCACATCATTCATTCATATGGCGTTTCTTTTCATTCTTATGCCAATGACAGTTAGATGTCCCTAGGACCATTGACTCTGGAATGCGACTTCCCTGCAGGGCTGCTCAATTTCAAAAACATATTCAGTGTAACACCAATAAAACTGAACCCTAGTCACTGGCAAGGAGGAGAAATAAAGACTGTGATTGTTATTAATATTATTATTGTTTATTATTATGTTGTATCTCATAAGATAAAGCATGCAGAGATATGTCTGATTCAGTCACTGTCTGACTAAATTTAGCAGGCTTAACGACCTATTTGACCAATATTTTCAGCAACAGTGGTTCTACTTGGATTATAACAAGACAAGGTCTTAAGTGTTATCAAGCTCATGCAGGGGTCCAGCATTCAATGCTGCAATCTTATACTATGATGCAAAGAGTATGATAAAAGGCAGAAAGAAGTCCACTGAAAACAGACATTAACAGTGATGCAAAAGGTATAAACATATGTGGCCCTGTCCAGGTTGAGGCTAGCCAAGAAATGTTCAGGAACAGACTGGACCCCTGACTTGTGTTGCATAACTGCTTTATTTATGTGGTGCTACCATTATTCTGAAATTGTTAAGAGGGATGAACAGGATGTGTTAAAAACTCTAAACAGGATGTCATAACATTGCTGACAGTGTTTACAGAATTCATGAAAAGTGTTATCTGTACATCTCTTACAGTCGCGTGTGCTGAATTACATCAAATCCAATAATAGACAGTAATCTATAACGAGTTTTTATTTTTTTTTATATTGAGCAACTTTTGAATGTCACTAATTGATTTTGTTGTTGACCCACCTCTGTTGTGTCACAATAACATAAAACCAAGTGAGAACATTCAGATTGTTAAAAAGCATACTGTCTGAGTGCATTTTTTATCCTACCTGCCACCTCCACAACATCACCAGGTACAATGTCCCGAGCCTTGATTCTCTGGACACTCTTCCTATCCTGGCGGTACACCTTCCCCATCTCTGGCTCATACTCCTTTAGTGCTTCAATGGCATTTTCTGCATTTCTCTCCTGAACAGTAGAAATAAGATTAAGATTAAAAACAAGTCAATTCCATGCAAACAAAAAATAGAAACTGGTTGAAAAGAAAAAGGGAACAAAGTGTCCACTCAGACATACTGTTACAGCAACAGCACAGCTATTCAAAATAGACAAGTTAACTCAGTCTAATCTTTACATAAGAAAAGTGACAAATCAACTAAGTGCATATCATAAGAGTGTTTAGCACAGAAAGTATAACAGAATTATGTAAACACTGGGTTAAAACAAAAAAAAATGTTTAAACCTACCCTAACATGGGACCTTAAATGCTAGCATAACTTTAAAAAAAAACCCCACAAAGTAACACTACCAATTCTCTTTGGTTCTTCCAAAGGTTCTCTCTCTTTGGTTCCCTTCTTACCTGCTAAGCTTCTTCCCAACCATTCTTCACTTGCACTTCTGTTAGCTCTGACTTTTCCTAGTCTGACTAACAGCTCTCAGATTGGACAGTTTTAGCAACAGCTCCAAACCTGGCCGGCAGAAAGGCAGCACTCAACTAGATATAGTAAGACAGGGCTCATGACCCAGGGCATTATGGTCTTTTGTAAGGGGGTAGCAACATGGACACAAAGCCACTAAAATAGCTGCCAGTACAGATTAGGGTTTATAAGGTTAAAGGGAGTTCAAATATGCATACAAAACTACCATTTCTTTGAATTTATCCTAATTTCAAAGTTTACTCTGTTTGCATAAACAAAGATAAACAAGCATCCACTTAACTGCCCATTTACACAAGCCACAACTTGTAACTTTTACAAATATTCCTAAGAGCAGATAAACATTTGTGTCCAGAAAACGAGTTTTTCCATATGCCATACTAAGGTAGATCTGTGAATGTAATGTGTGTTTACCTGCCAGACTCCAACAATTGCATTTGCTATGAGAATAAGTAGGATAACAAAAGGCTCCACAAAGGCTGTAATTGTTTCTTCTCCCTCTTCAAACCAGGCCAGTGCCTACACACAATGAGAGAAAACAGAAATTAACAATAATTAAATAATCTACAAATAACAATTAATACTAAAATGTGAGATGCTAAGAGCATTGTAGTCTTGATCGGGAATAACATTAGCTCAACCCCTAAATAGGAGCCAGAAATTAATACTAGAGCTTGCTGAATAACCACTTAAACAGTTGTTTACATAGGATTATATTTCAAAGTTATGTAGTTGGGTCACATATTTTTTGTTATCCATGCTTAGTTCAGCAATGTAAGGAGGATGATAAAACACTGCTCTATTCAGTAAGGTAAAAGTTTCTGGCCTTCAAATTGTGTTGCCCAGTCTTCATGGGACCTGACATTCTACATGATCTACTGAATGAGAATACACAGGATGTTAAAAATCACCACAATATATAATAGATAATATCAGTCCAATGTAGCCAACCCCAACCCATGAAAGAAACAAAGAGGAGGGAGAAGGCCAAAGCTATTTTTAACTAATTGTGTATCTAGTGGCCCAAAACTACTAGTTTTCCAGCCTTATCCCACAGTATATCATAAGAAAATGGTTATTTCTTCCCAGTGGCATTTCAACACACCTTGTTGGCAGGTTTTGCCAAGACCCTACTCTGAGTTTAACATGTTTGTCACAATATTTGAAGTGGTTAACAATCATTAAATTATTCATAAACAATATCAATCAAGCCTCTACCAGTATTGCAGGAACTGGGCCAAGTGTTATTAAATCATGTTTAGTAACCACTCTCTCCTCTTTCAGAATCTGTGCCAGGAGTCAATCGCGTAAAATGAAATTTCAACAGTTCCCCTATCTTCTACTACAACCTATTTAAGCATGATCAACCAAATGCCATTAAATTATAAGTATCTAACAGACAAAATAAATTGTTGCACATAATTAATTGGGCAAATGAATATAAATTCTAATGTTTGTAGATAACATTGTAGTCAAAATGTTGTCATGCTGAAATATATGTAAATGTGTCTGGATGTGCAAAGGTGACTGAGAATGTGATCATTACAGCTGGTGATTTATGAACTTTGCAATAACAGCTGGCTGTCATCACCATGCCTTGGTGGCTGACGATATTCATAGCCAGTGGGCCAACAGCCAATGCTAGAGTAGAAACGGAGCCACAAGGTAGTGAACTCAATGTACAAAAACTGCACTGGGAATTGCCACTCAATGGTGACAAGAACACAGGCATCACAAGTTATATCATTTGTATTCATGTCATGTTGGATTTCTGCTAACAATATGAATACTGATCATCAAAGGGATATTAATCATAAGTGTTAGTCCTTTCTAGAGTTTAGTGACATGTTAACAGAAAATTCAATCATCAGAGAAATATGTACTTCTCATGTGTCTTGTCACATTCACACTGAGGAAAAAGCCACAGCATTCTGCCCATTCCAAAACACCATGCCACATAGTCATCAAACATGTTAAAGTGACATGACTATCCATTTCCAGATTTCTTTTTAACTATGGATATATTTTACTATTGTTGTGTTGACATACTCTCTATAAAACAACAGGCTCAAAGAGGCTGCAGTGATGTACTTTTTGTATTGAGAGCAAAAGCATGTACTGAGAAAATAAAAAGAAAAACAAAAAAAAACCCTGAACTCATCACTGTAAATGTGAAAAGAAAGATGTAGCAGAGATGAACATAGACAATGTTCAGTTGGCAGAAGGGCAGTTTATTTTCTCAATGACACTGAATAATCTGCTTGGAGGACATAAAGCAGGCTCTTGTACTTAAGATCTCTGTGTGGTCAACTTTATCTTGAGTTGAATGTTCAACACAACCCTTACACAAGTGTCACAATATGTTTACAGATTTTTACTACCACTGACCTTGATAACATGGTAAAGGAAGTTGAGCACTTAGCTGTATACAAGTGCAGAAATTAAACATGAGCTATTGAGCTTGTTTTACTAATTAATCAATGTCTTACATGTCAGCTGAATGCACTTAATAAGCCACTTGTTCTGCTCACAATGCATGGGTTATACTCACAAAGGATATGCAGGCAGCCAGTAAAAGGATCCTCACAAGCAAATCTTCAAACTGTTCAATCACCAGTTCCCAGAGGGATTTACCTAGAAACAGGTTTTATTCATAAACAAATTCTAATGTTACCTTTCATCTAAAACAAATGGAAATGAAAGACTCCTAACATAAATAGGTGACTGCTTGCATTTACAAACAATTGTTCACTTACCCTCCTCAGCTGGCAATTCTGCAGATCATCCCATTTAGACAGCACACAAAAGAGACGGACAAGCAGTTACATGTCAGTACCTGACATACAATAATAGCTTTTTCAGTAGCAGTACTGAAGACAAAAAAAAAAAAAAATTCACACAGATAGGTTTCCTATTTGATCCACAAAGCTGTATTTTATTTTACGGTTGCCTTACAAAGCACACTGAGGGCCTCTGTACTAGAGTCTCATTCCTTGTGTATCTAATCATGCTTAGCCAGTAGAGATTCTGGTGGATAATTTGGTGCCGATTACTATCTTGAGTGACAGAAGTGATGCTTTTCGGGATGTCAACATACAGATCGTGACGTCGGCAACTTTGCTTTTTGTTTGGTATGATGCCAATTACAAATAGCTATGACCCATACATGACACAGGAAGAGTATAGCTAATCTAGCCTTTGAACAGACTGACGTTAACCAACTCCTTACCGTTTGGTCCATAGCGTTCCCGTTGTTTCTTCACTTGCTCTAAACTCAGACCTGTGCTTTCATTCACGTTGAAAAAGCTGTAAACCTCTTCGACCGTCTTTGTGTGTGCGTTGTCCATGGTGAGCAGCCACTTGAGGACACCGCTTGTTTCAACCTCAGCCTGTCACGGGTCTGTGCTCTTTTGGTGTCACCCCGTAATTTAAAATAAAAATATTTAAAAATATCAAAACGCCTGCCGACAGTGCTGACTCTTACCAACTTAATTTATTTAACCCAGGACGGCGCGGGTGCAGGTGCCTGGCAAGAGCGGACGAATTAATATTAGCAGCGACTGAGCTAACAGATAGCTAACATGCTAAAGCTAGCTAACTGTTGGGCTCCTTTGGCTCAGCTTGAATTCGCCGGTTGTGCTGCTAGCTTTGCCGTTGGACCTTGAATTATTAATTCACGTCAGTATCCCAGACTTAATTTGGATGTTATAATAGCCTCGTCTTCTTTTAAAACGGCGAATTCCAGAATAAACCTGTCCAAATAGATGATTTAAACATGTGGTTAAGTCGCAGCTTTGGTCCCGTTGTCCGCTCCGCCTGTGTATTGCGGAATCACCACCGTTCTCATGGGCACCAATCGCGTTTATCTGCTGCAGCTCTCGCGTACGTCAAATGCGGTGTTCGCTGTCCGCATGTGGAACGAGCTCATTGGTTGCAAACACCGGAAATCCTTTTTGCTCTCTCTCTCTCTCTCTCTCTCTCTCTCTCTCTCTCGCTCTCTCTCTCTCTCTCTCTCTCTCTCTCTCTCTCTCTCTCTCTCTCCGGCCCTTTCTCTCTCTCTGTGTGTGTGTGTGTGTGTGTGTGTGTGTGTGTGTCATAGCCTTCCACAGTCCTCATTCCATTTCCAAAGATGTTACTTGTCAAAAACGATGGTGATATAGACTGATTTGGGTGAACTTCTACATAATGTACTTTATGTAAATAAACACAACATGGCATCAAAATATTTTATTCTACTCATTTCCATAAAATTTAGGCCCAATTTAAAAATCTTAGAAATGTTTTGATCCATCCATCAATTTTCTCCGCTTATCCGAGACTGGGTCACGGGGGCAGCAGTCTAAGCAAAGATGCCCAGACTTCCCTCTCTCCAGACACTTCCTCCAGCTCCTCCGGGGGAATGCCAGGCATCCGAAACAGATGCCCGAGCCACCTCAGCTGGCTCCTCTCGATGTGGAGGAGCAGCGGTTCTACTCTGAGCTCCTCCCGGGTGACCAAGCTCCTCACCCTATCTCTAGGGGTGCGCCCGGCCGCCCTGCGGAGAAAGCTCATTTCGGCCGCCTGTATCCGGGATCTTGCCCTTTAATTTAATAAGTTCTTCTTTGTTGCTGTTTCAAAAGTGTTGCTGGAGTTTTGACCTCTTCAGATTGTTTTTCTTTCTCTATGCACAGTGTAAAGCCCCTTAAGGCCAGTTTGTGATTTTGGATATAAAGTTTGACTTGACTTGACTTTTATGTGGCTGGACACTTAACAGTCCAGTTTCACAGTTTTAAAAACTGAGCACATTGATTTAAACAGCAGAAGGATGAAAATTATCAGGAAGCAGACTGAGAGTGCATCCCTAATTCATAGCTGGTTGTAGCCTCAAAATATGAATCATGTGGTGCTTTGAAGCATGACATCACTTATGACATCGAACTTCACTGATTCCTGATACAGAAAATACAAAAATATTAATATGAAATAAATCACGAGTTGTGTACCATGGATTCAAAAACAGTGAAATATTATATTATTATTATTATTATTGTAATATTATTATAATTAATTCATATACTTGAATTATTTGTTGATGTTATAATATTATTGTAATATGATTATAATTCATTCATATACTTTCATTATCTGTTTTGCCATTGAAGTTAGTCTGTTTCCTTTTCATATTTGACAGCTACATGTGATGCTTGTTTTTGGATTAGCAGCTCTTACTGCACAGCCAGCAGATAAACCATTTCAACAGCTGTGGGTTTCATTGCTGACAATGAGAATGACTTTTAATTCTTTTTTGTTACATGTGGGGGCAGTGCAGAGGCAGCAAGTTCAGTCCAGTCTGATCCAAGTTTTGCTATGCAGCCAGCTCACTCTGTGTAGGAGTATGGGTGAGTGTGAGCTTTGCAGAGAGGTTGAGGTCTGTTTTTAAAGCTTCTCTAATGGCTCATTGTGAGAATAGATCATTTCAGAATCCTTCTTTGCAGTCAGATTGAGGGTGTCCATTTATTTCACATTCAGATGAGACAACTCAAGACACTGACAATGTTTATGTCTGACTACTGGGCACAGATGAACAAAATTTTTTACATTATGTCTTCTTGGTCAGTGACAAAATGCATGGTTGTTACACAAATAAATACATGTATCTTACCTTCATTTTGTCATTTGAAGCTTTTTTTCCTGGGCCAATTTTAAGACATTTATCACTTTGTAGCTTTTCAATTTTGAGATTTAACTCTCTATCATGTCTGCGTCTGCTTGCTACTTTCATAAAGAAGACTAAAGTATATACATGATCACTTACAACTTGCTTTGTCATTGTTTCTTATTTAGAATTACTAAAATCCAGTAAGATAAACACTTGTTTGAAAACTTGACACATGCCTTGTGTGATATGGGATTGTAGTGACCAACTGCAAAAACTTAGAAAAAAATCAACTGGACTAGATTTCTGGGTCGAAGACACTTCACCTCTCATCCAAGTGGCTTCACCAGTTCTTCTCTTGGATGAGAGGTGAAATGTCTTTGACCTAGAAATCTAGTCCAGTTGATTTTTTTCAGTTTACTATGACCTGGATGACTGAGAAGCTGCACAGACTTGTAGTGACCAAGATTTTTCCCATAGCATGCCTATGTTTGGCTTTGGGTTTTCGGCAGAAAAGAAGTTGATCACCTTATAAAGTGTCATAAAAAGTGTAAGTGTGCATATTACAGTCATCCTAGCATGAGAAAGTTAATTTTGCCTCTTGGCAAACAGTATCCCTCCTTGTTGCAGTGTCTTTGAGGGAGGCATAAATAACTTTCTGTTCTGGAAGTGCTGAACCTCTTTGCCATTTGACTTTGGACTTTATGCATGACAGTTACATAAATCAAGTACATTATAATGAGTGGCTACAGTAAATTAATATAGTGACCCCTCTTTATATGGTTTAAAATGGTGGAGAATGGCTAATGCTGTGCTTCATGTCTTTGGTTTATACAACAAACTTATATTTGTTATCTTGTCTGCTTGCTTAAATTGTATCAAGAGTTCAGGTGATGAGGATTTGAGCAAATGGAAATTATTTTCCTTTAGACCCATATCCAGCCTATACAATAAAGTACTGAGTTTTAGCCTTCAACACTATACTGTAATAATAAAAGTCTATTAAAACCGAGTAAAATGGGGCCTAACCTACTAATCTTTGAAGCCCACCTGATAAAAATCCCATTGTCAGCATTTTTTATGATATTTTTAATATTACTATGACAGTCACTATTGCAAAGTACAGGCCTAAACTAAAGTAAAACTTGGTAGCCTACTATATGAATTTAAAAACATTTTACCAATAGTTGTTAACACCACTGTTTGTGTGTTTTTGCTGGACTCCAGTGGACAAAAATATTACTAGATGTCAATTTTACATTTAATTCTTCGTAAACTGGATTCAGCAAAGTATGGGGAAGGCTAATCTTCCTTTATTTTATCTCCATATTAGATATAAACACAATATAATATAACATATTATTATTAGGCTACAAGACAAAATGTGTTTCAGGGTGTCAGTTCTCTGAGTCAGCTGAAAGATTCTGCTTATCTGTTGGCAGACCACACACATACACAGAGGTCCTGTTGTTCAATCCTCAAACACGTACAAAAATATTTTTTGTGTCACTTGTCTCCATTAAGACATTTCCGTCAAAAAGTGATACTTCAAAAGCCTTGAGCTTTTCATGAGGTGTTGTGAATGTTAAAATGTACCATGTAAATAATACATGCTAAAATAAAAGTAACATGAGCGACAGTAAAATCACAGAAAGGCATTATGTAGTTGCATTTTGTCCACAGTGCGGCTACATTTACAATTTACCCGCCCCCCAATAATTAAATAGTTTTGCGGAATACTTCCTATGGATGTAAGCTATGCGTCTGCGGAAACGATAATAAGGCAGGTCTCGCGATATTTACGTCAGGGGGTCAAAGTTGACTTTGGCCATGTGTGTTTTGCCGTTAATATATTTTTGGTTTTCCGGCGTACACTACAGACTTGTTTCATACAAGTGTCTTTGTAAATATTTATGACTAGAGTCTTTAAAATTTGTGTTATAAGACTGACTTTACGTGTTTGACAGCTTGTATATACCGTGCACATTTTCTTTTATGTTATTTTTATCAGAAAAGCGGGCACTGTACTGCGTTAGGTTCCTCTGATTAGATGTGAAGGTTTGCATATTTTAGCAGCAGGATCTTCTTATGATGACTTAGCGTGACATGATTAAAGTTCGACCACTGTTGAGTGCCTTAGTTAAGCACAGAGTGACATTGGAGAGACACGGTAAGACAATCCGTCCTTTTGCTGTTTTATAGGACTTGGCTCCTTACATTGCTTGTTTAAAATTTTGCTAATGTATTTGCAGTCTTGGGCTTGCAGGATTATGTTTCACATTATGCATAAGAACATTTACGGTAGCGTAAATCTTATTATAACAAGAAATCTTGATCGTTATAAGTAGATATTTTGTTCGTTTTTATGAGATACTTTTACGTTAAAACATTTTCACGTTATTTCTACATACTGCATTTTCTCGTTTTAACCACGTAATGTAGGCTATTTTGTCAACATAAAACATACTGTATTTTCTCGAGTACATGTATATAAAGGTAAAATCATCCAGGAATATTTTGTGCCACTTTCACAGGTTACCTTTGTAAGTTCTTTCCCATAATGAGTGAAGGATCCAAAGCTGAGCAGCCAGACAAGCTGCTGAAAAGAACCACTGAAGAAAATGAGGACAGTGCTGAATGGGTCCATACAGCAAAAAGAATAAAAGTGGAGGGGGAACACGCTGAAGATGAAAAGAGATATCCCAAAAAGAAAGTGGTTCTCCTTTTGGCATATTCTGGAAAAGGGTACTATGGCATGCAGGTACATGTTGTAGCTAGCTGGGATTTTTACTTATAAGCACTTTAATTTCTTACATCTTACTAGACTGAAATGTTTTATGTGTTTCAGAGAAATGCTGGAAACTCTGAGTTTAGGACCATTGAAGATGATTTAGTCACTGGACTTATAAAATCTGGTTGCATTCCCGAAAACCATGGTGATGACATGAAGAAGATGTCTTTTCAAAGATGTGCCAGAACAGATAAGGTATCTAGTTATTATTAGGCATTAATTTCAGTTTGAGGCCTACATGGCTGTAGTGGAATAAGACTCCAACATCCACTGAAATTATTCAGTGTAATTCCAGTTTTCAGTATATCATATTTCTGCACTGCTCGCTGTGCTAATGAAGTGTTGTGTTGAACCATGCTGAGCTTATTTATTGTGCTTCCTGATTGTTGTAGGTTGTCAGTTTTTTTTCATAAGAAGAGAAATATAATGTGTAGGTATATCATATTGTAACAGACCACAGTAAGAGTTTTTATACATCATTATTACTGGTATTTCATTATGACATGTTTGTTATTGTTGTTTTATTTGCACTGGTTTAGGGTGTGTCTGCAGCTGGCCAAGTAGTGTCTCTGAAGTTACGTTTGATTGAAGACATCATTGAAAAAATCAATGAGCATCTGCCGCCACAGATCCAAGTGCTTGGTGAGAGGCTGGTTACAGATCTCTGCTATTATAAGATGTGGGGATGACGAATGCTAAAGGACAGAATTTGTCTTGTATTGATGACACTAGTTGGTTCTCTTATTGAGTGAAGCTAGCTGTTGGCATCCAGATATTCATTTTTACTTTTGTTCCCACAGGTATTAAACGGGTGACCCAGAGTTTCAATTCTAAAAACAACTGTGATGCTCGTACATACTCCTATATGCTTCCAACAGTGGCCTTTTCCCCAAAAGACTATGATACAGGGAATACAGCAGCGTTTCGCCTAGAACCAGACACACTTGAGAGGGTCAATCGTCTGTTTTCTCTCTACAAAGGCACCCATAACTTCCACAACTTCACCTCCCAGAAGGCTCCAAATGACCCCAGTGCCCGCCGCTACATCACAGAGATGTCCTGTGGAGAGCCATTTATCCGCAGCAATATTGAGTTTGTGGTGATTACAGTGCGAGGCCAGAGCTTTATGATGCATCAAATCCGCAAGATGATTGGCCTGGTGATTGCAGTGATAAAGGGCTACGCAGAGGAGGAAGTGCTGGAACGGAGCTGGGGACAGGAGAAAGTAGATATTCCCAAAGCTCCGGGACTGGGGCTGGTCCTGGAAAGGGTTCACTTTGATCGGTACAACAAACGCTTCGGAGGTGATGGGCTGCATGAGCGCCTGGAATGGGAGCATGAAGAAGAGGCTGTCAAGGCCTTCAAGGAGGCTCACATCTACCCCACTATTGTTGACACAGAGTGTCAGGAGGGCTCCATGGTGAGCTGGATGGCCACACTTCCTAACCATGACTTTGAAGGTACAGCAACTGGAGCACGAGAGAAAAAGGACCAAAAACAGGTATATGGCAGTTCATTACAGAATAACACATTTATTTGAAATGTTGATGTTTGACGTTAAAAGTCCATTCTGTTATGTATTGTTCACTGTTACTCTCATTTTCCCACAGGACAATGCAGATCTAGGAAATGATTCTGGTTAGGTCACCCTTTCTGCTGAAAGAAGAGACTTTTTTTTACCAAAACATTCACTCACTTTTGTTGGGGATTAGCTTTCTTTCTTTTCAGGACTGAAAGTGTATATATTCCAAGACTGACCATTTCTTAATGGGATAACATTTTATTTCTGTTATATGAAGTTATTAAACATGAACAACTATATATAAAAAGCTTCTCTGTTCTTTATTATAATAATTGTTTCTTATTGATAACTGCATCCCGATGCAAAGGTGAATTCCTGTATTATTATTATTATTATTTTTTTTTTTTTTGGATGATCACTTATGCAGTGACTTACATTTACATCAAAACAAAAGGATGGGCCTTATATGTACTTTACATATCAGTAAATGTTATCACTGCCACTGCGGACATGTTTCTCAGCCCCAGTTTTTGTAGTTTACTAGTTTTACATCTTTCTCTTGTAAGGTGTTCCTTAACTGTAGGTTAGGATTTTGATGCGATGGCTCTGTAGTCTGAGTTGACCAGATCTAGTGGGTATCATTGTTATGTAAAATCCTATGATTACCCTGATACACTGTTGGAAGTTTTTTTTTTTTAGGAACACCTAGCTAAGACTAATGTAGCCTAATACAACGACCCTACAATGAATACTAGTTTTAGCATGGTGTTCCTAATAAAATGACAACTACATAACCACGTTGCTAATGCAGTTTTATGACCAAAATGAATGAGCAGTTGTTTCTGCCCAGTGTCTTCAAAATGGTAGATAATGCATTTGCAGTCACTTTGTTGAAAACTATGTGTAAAACAAATCTTAGATTTTACCTGTAAGAATAGAATTTGTATCTTTGAATAATAAAATATTGAATAATAAAAATCTGTATGGTCAGGGTTAAAAAGCTGCACAAGCACTTGAGCTTTTACATCAGGGAAAGTGAAAATCAGGCATGATTTACAATTTTTTGTATATGGACAGAAATAGTTTTGTCCATTGATATATTACTGAAGGAGTGTACCAGCATAGGCCCATGGTCTCATTGGGCCCTTGAACCAGGGCCTCTGTTTAAAGTCACCAACATTTCTTGTTGATAAAGAAGCTTAAAAAAGATACAAAGAGATGTACAATGACCACAAAAAGAAAAACTTCTCATTTTTATTTTTATTTCTTTTACTTTGCATGTCTGTCCAGAGGCCCATTGTTTCACAATCCATGTTTTGATCACATCATGCAATTGGTTTGAAATGTATGTGTTGATGGAAGCCAGTTGGGAAGTACTCAATGTAGATTGTTGATGAAATATGTTACAGAGCTGTTCCCTAACTGAGGTATTATTATTATTATTAAAGGGATTCTGGAGGTGGGGCTACATCAAGGATTGTCTTTGAGTCCCTTCTTGTTTGCTATGATGATGGACAGGTTGACAGATGAGGTCAGACAGGAATCTCCATAAACAGTGATGTTTGCAGATGACTTTGTAATCTGTAGTGAGAGCAGAGAGCAGGTGGAGGAACACCTGAAAAGGTGGAGGTCTGCTCTGGAAAGAAGAGGAATGAAAGTCAGTCATGGTAAGACAGAATACATGTGTATGAACGAGAGGGAGGGAAGTAGAATGGTGAGGTTACAGGGGGCTGAGGTCAAGAAGGTGCAGGAGTTTTAAGTATTTGGAGTCAACAGTCCAGTGCGATGGGGAGTGTGGAAAAGAGGTGAAGAGGCAAGTGCAGGCAGGTTGGAGTGGGTGGAGAAAGGAGGCAAGTGCAGGCAGGTTGGAGTGGGTGGAGAAAGGTGTCAGGAGTGTTGTGTGACAGAAGAGTGGCAGCAAGAATCAAAGGAAAGGTGTACAAGACAGTAGTGAGACCAGCTATGCTGTATGGGTTAGAGACTGTAGCAGTGAGGAAAAGACAAGAGGCAGAGATGGAGGTAGCAGAGATGAGGATGTTGAGGTTCTCTTTAGGAG